TGTGTGTGTGTGTGTGAGGAAACATGCTGCATTACGCCACATCAATGGGAGTAGAGGCTGAATAGTAAAAACAGCTCTAATGCAACTCTTAAGAAGCCCACAGCCTGATGAAGTACCTCCCTGAAACACAACAGTACAGCTTCGATGTGTGTCTTTTTAAGGCCGTACACTTGAAATTGAAAACTGCAAATGGCGCTAAGCATTCAATGTGTTACTATTTTAATTCTACGACTTGAAACGTATGCCTAATAACTCTATAAAACCATTTCCTATGCATTAAACAGGCTGTGAGTTACATGGTTGTAATGTAATGTCTTTTTATTTAAGTTGATTCTCCTTTCTGACACTGATTTATTTACACACCTTGTTCATTCTGTGACATTTATCATCATTCTCAGCGGTAACAGTAGTAGTGGTACTAATCGTAGTTTTCCATCCTTTATTATCCTTATACCAGTCTTGCAGTGAGATTTGAATCCATTCTCTAATTCCTCCTCCTCCTTCCTCCTCCTCCTCTTCCTCTCCCAGAGTTCTCTTTCTTCATCACAGTGCCTCCCCTCCGCCCCCTTTACAAGCGCTGCGGGACTGTCGGAGTTTCGAGCTCTCTTCCTGACCTGCCAACATGCCAGCCGCACTCACAGACTCCAGTCAGATCATCTGTGAAGTCTGGGCGAGCAACGTGGAGGAGGAAATGAGGAAGATTCGGCAGATTATTCAAAGCTACAATTACATTGCCATGGTGAGTGACGGGCAGCTCGGAGAGGAGCTGGACGTTGGTGGGATGAAGGGGAGTGATGATTTCATTCGTTGATAGCAGAGACACTGTACAGAATGACTTTCTCATGTATTTATTTTGACTTGTTAACAGGTGAAAGTCCAAATTTGATCTTCAGAATACATTTTGAATTGGATTAGCTCAGTTTTCTCTCCACTGTCTGCTTTGTTTTGCCTTAAAGAGGACCTCATTTCAGTAAACGACAGTGAACAATGTCTTGGTGCACAGGAGGAGATCAGACATTCATGGTATTTTCCAGCTGATGTGTAAAACCAAACAAAAAAAAGATAAAGATCTGGCAGGTTGAGGCAAAGCGGAAAAAAACTTTCATTCTGTCCATAGTAACAGTGCAGGGATATTGAAGGGTGGAGTTATCTCTCAGTGTGTTGTTGTTGTTTTCTTCTTCATCAGGACACAGAATTCCCCGGGGTGGTTGTGCGGCCGATCGGCGAGTTTCGCAGCACGGTGGACTACCAGTACCAGCTGCTGAGGTGCAACGTTGACCTCCTGAAGATCATCCAGCTTGGCCTCACATTCATGAACGAGGACGGAGACTATCCTCCCGGCACGACGACGTGGCAGTTTAACTTCAAGTTCAACCTCACGTAGGCAGACTGTTGTCTTCTGGCACTTTCTAAGACTCTGTCTTTATGCATGTTTTGAAACACAGGTGGTTGTTTGCAGCACTGCCTGAGTGTCTGTCTGGGTTTTTGCTCCTCACAGAGAAGACATGTACTCACAGGACTCCATAGACCTGCTACAGAACTCCGGCCTCCAGTTTAAAAAACACGAAGAAGAGGGAATCGACACGCTCTACTTTGCCGAGCTCCTCATGACGTCTGGTCTGGTGCTGTGTGAAAACGTCAAGTGGCTGTCCTTCCACAGGTCGGGTGATGGTTCTGATTCAGCCTTTGTAGTGTTGGTTTTTACACACCGTGCACCGTCAAACTCTTTACCAAGTCAGCCAGTCAGGGGAAGAGCGAAAGCAAGCTTTCCATCAAGAGAAAAGAGAAATACTCTCCAGTGTTATTCAGCCTGTGATAACCTCTGTAGCAGCCGCCAGTGCTGTTTTAGGGAATTAGGGAGGATTAAAAGAAATGAATTTGAGACCCTGACCTAATTTATGTTACAAAGCAAGGGGTTCACTAGTAGTCGCACCCATTAGAGGTAATGAAGATTGTAATTAGTTTGAACCAACCCAGTAACTTCAGTGTAATCCAGTCCATCCTGACCTGAATCCTCGTGTTCTTTGTTTCTCAGCGGCTACGACTTCGGCTACCTGGTGAAGCTCCTGACAGACGCGCGGCTCCCGGAGGAGGAACACGACTTTTTCCAGATCCTCAACCTGTTCTTCCCCGCAATCTACGACGTCAAGTACTTGATGAAGAGCTGCAAGAACCTCAAGGTATGATGGACTGGATGCAGACAGAGGGGGTGGGCAGACTGTAGTTGGGGATGGGGTACATCCACCTGTACATAGGAGCCGAAATCCGTCAAATTGTGGAGAAAAAAAACAAGTCTTGAGACGTTTGATTGTGTCTGTGCAGGGAGGACTACAGGAAGTAGCAGACCAGCTGGAACTGAAGAGGATCGGGCGGCAGCATCAGGCCGGATCAGACTCGCTGCTCACCGGCATGGCTTTCTTCAGGATGAAAGAGGTACGGTCACACATATCCAGAGCTTTTTGCTTCTTTTTCACTTGTAGGACAGTAGTCCATCTGCAGCATAATCAGCTTCCGTGTATTTTCAATTCTTTGCTGCCCTCACTACCAAAGGTCTTTGTTTACTGTGAACTGAGGATTTAATTAGTTTAATCAAATCAGTCGTTGGGGAAAAATCATCAAGTCTTGAAAAACTGAAAGCCATTAACCAGAAGAACAGTGAACAGTGAACCTTTAGTGGTCACCTCATGCAGCACTACTTGGTGTAACTAAAAGTTCAACCCATGAAGCAATCACAAATGTTTGAACAATCCTATATTATTATTTATATTATTATTATTACTATGTTTCTGTTACTCCCATCAAACTGCCCTTTTCTCCCTAACCCACTGATAGCCATTCGTCACCCCCTTCCAGATCAGGTCATTTATTAGAACTTTGCCCTGAACACGACCAGGATAGCCGACCATGCTCCTCGCTAGAGATGGAAGGTTCTCGTAGAAATTGCTTTGTGTGTTTCTATCTTTTGTCAAAGCTGTGTTAGGAAACACTAAACCTTTTCAGAGGACGGCCGTCTAACTGAAATCTGCTTTTGTTTTTATATAGCTTTTCTTTGAAGACAACATTGATGATGCAAAGTATTGTGGGAGATTGTACGGCCTGGGCTCGGGCTCCACCCAACCCCAGAACGGCATCTCCAGCTCGGGCCAGGAGGAGACGAATAACAAGCACTGACTGAGCGCTCAAATCTTCAAGTGGAATACGCACTTGTTTTAAAACCCAACCAGCAGATTTTCCCTCTGATCTCCCTCAACACTCGGTCCCTGAACAAGACCAAACTAAACACATCTCTTTAAATTGTCCTCCTGAGTGACTGTAAAATGGACTCATGGTGACAGTGGATCCTTCACTGGCTCACCTGTTTCTTTTTAGTCGCTTTTTACTGAGTATATTGCCATATATTCAGAACACTTTTTTTAATCTGTTGGATCTTTTTTTTTTTTTACAGCGTTATAGTGACACCCTTCTT